AAAGGCGCTGGGCGTCGACGCGTGAGGAGAAAGCCTCCTGCGCGAGCCCTGTCAGCAGGTAGCGGTCGTGCCAGTCGGGCTTGGCGGCATCGATCCTGGCAAACAGGTTTCCGCGCAAAGGCATCGGCGACGAAGCCATCCGACATGAAGTACAGCGACTCCAGCGCGTCAATGTTGGACCACAAGTCGCAGGATGCGAAGAGGACCTGTTTCAGCGCCTCGGATGTCGCGTGATGCTTGCTCTGGATCCAGGAGCCGAACGCCGAGCCGAAGAGCTCGTTAAAGGGCGCAAAGTCAGACCCCTCAGGGCAGACGGCGTCAAAGGTCAACAGGGGCTCCGGCCTGTTCCACTGGGCGCGGGTCGATTCGTATTTGCCCAGATGCTTCAGCACGACGATGCTCTTGCCGGCCGTGAAGATCTTGGCGGCGCTGGGTTCTAGAAAGTTGGGCACATGCAGCTTGCCGTCGGATGTGCGCCTCAGCTTGAACTGCTCCTGCCAGATTTGGTTCAGGGGTACCTGGGAGACCGAGTCGGCGACGAAGAAGATCTTGTCGGCCGGCAGCAGCTCGCCCTCGTGCATCCAGAGCCGGATGGGGCGCAGGTACATCTGGAAGCACTCGAAGAACATGCGGCCCAGAAACTCGTACGTGCCATTCTTGCCAGCGGGCCTGCGCGGCGCCGACGTGCTGGTAGAGCAGCTCGAGGTATCGAAAGGCGCCAGCCTGGGGCCCCTCCTCGAGCTGGCGCACAATGTCGGACAGCGCATTGAGGGGCTCGAGGTGCGGACCGAGTTCGCGCTGCAGGGCGATGGAACTCACGACGGTGTCTCGCGGCGGGGCGATCAGGCGGTGCTGGATCCGTGATAGTTCCTTGTCAAACGACTGCAGGCTCGTCATGACATTGGCGTGAAAGACCTGCAACAGCGGCATCGTCTGCCTCCGGCTCGCAAAGGACCGCAGCACGGCGAGGCGGCGGCCCGCTTCGGCGAACCAGCCGACGAGTGCCTTGCACGTCTCCCACGCCATGCTGGCCACCTGGTACGCGGGGTCCGGCTGGCCGTGCTTCTGAAACAACGACGTCTCCAGTCCCTGGAGCATGAACAGTGCCTCTCTGATCATGTGAAACTCGGACACGGCCATCTTGCGCGACGGCCCTGCCGAGGGTTGCTGGTGCCCGTCTGGCAGGCGCCACGACTGGCTCTGCTGCACCGCCTGCAAGGCAGCATCGTGCCGCGTCTCGACCTGAAAATCCTCGGGCCGCCGTACAGCGAGTGCGTCAGAGGCCGCAACGGACGTGTCGTCCGAGTCGTGGCCCGCGCCGGACGTGTCGTCCTGATAGTCCTCATCGTCGGAGCTGTCGCGAAAGTCTACGGACCGCCACAGATCCGGCTCGCGATGCCACCCGTCCTCCCTGGCAATGTCCTCCCACGTGAGCGGTGGGCCGGCCCCTTCTTTCGGCCGGTGCAGGAGGGCGAGGTCTTGGAGGTCCGTCTTCTGCGCAGGCTGGTCGGCGATCTCGAGGAGAAAGTGGAGGATGTCGGGGGCCCATTTGGTGCGGAGCGGGGCGAAGGCGTCGAGACTCTGGCGGAGGGCCCGGGCGAGGCCGTCGCGTGGTGGACGCTGAAGCGCTCCTCGAGGCCGGCGAGGCGGTTCTCGACGTCGAACTGGTTCGTGCGGAGAAAGTTGTGGTACCGCAGGGTGCGGATGGAGGCTTCGCGGCAGCGGTTGAAGCGATGGGGAGCGTTCTGTTTTCGGCAGGGGCTGGGTCAGTGCTCGTGGCTCTCTCTCGGCGCACGGAGAGGGGGGGGGGCAGGTGGGTGGGTGGGCGGTTGCACACCTTGCTCGACGTGGAGGTGACGAGCTCGACGAGCTCCTCGGTCAGGGCGCCGAGCTGGGCGGCGTGGGCCATGGTGCGCTCATCGATCGGGTGTCGGGGGCGGCTCGAGGTTGTCGACGGCGGCGGGGTCTAGCAGATGTGATGGGAGCTGGTGAGGTGCGACGCGGTGAACGGTGAAAGCGTCGACGGGTTGACGCGACGAGGTGGGGTTGTTCGACCCGGCAGGTGGGGGTCGTCTTTGGGGGTTCTTGGCGAATGACATGTGCTGGAGAGTGGTCCTAGCTTTGACAGCTTTCAAGGGCCAAGCTTTCGGGGGCCGGGGTCAACTGGCTTTGTCTGTTCTGGTACGACGGCTTTGTCCTTTGGGTTGATGGTCAGCCGAGACGGTCTGATTGAAACGGGGAACCTAGGGAGTGGGTACAAGACCTCAAGGCGCTCATCATCTCGGTAGGCATCAGTGATAGCGGACTTGAAGCCCTGTAGGAGCTGGCTAGAGAGGAAACAAGCAGCGTGGTATATATGCTTAGCAGCATGGTATATGTGCTCAACGGGTCCCTGACTGGACAGAAGCTTTGCTCGTCAAGCCAGAGCCAAGACGGAAATTCCAGACAGCGAGGAGAAAACCTTGTCTGATTGACTAGGTGCATAGTATCGTCGTGGTTATGCTAAGGCTCATCGTCCGAGGTCCGGACGGGCAACAAGTCTCTCGGCCCGTGTACGATGCCAACCGATGAGAGAGAGGCGGCAGGCCAAATGTGACAGCCCTTCTGCGCATGTATTTATCATGCGCCATCCACGCAGTTGCCTAACACCTCCTAGCTTTAGTTGTGCTATTCAGAACGGGCCGGCCTACAGTGGAGACCCGAGACTGTACATGTCCACCTTATCGATCCTTCGAGGGGACTAGTCCTTATGCCTGCACCCAGCATCAACCACAGCCTTGCATCGTGAAGGCCAGTACGGGTTCATGTCAATCAGTGGCATGCGACCTCAAAACCCGCAGCGTGTTGCTGGGCGTGCCCGCTGTGAACAGGCTCGGTCCAGCCATTCGAGAAGGTGACCGAAGGAGTCATGCGTCCATATTTTTTCTGCTCAGGTCATTGCGCATATGATAATCCATATATTTTCTGATCTGGCTATTGCGCGCAAATAATCCATATATTTTCTGATCTGGCTATTGCGCGTATGATGATCCATATCGTGGGCTCATTGCATGACTGAATGTAGGTAGGATCCAAGACGAGGAACCTCGTTCAGGGTCCTTATCATGCCGTCAACCTAAAACGGTAGCGCGCGCAGGGGGGGAGAAACGGGGCCCAGACGGCCGGCAGCGCAGATAACGTGGCCAACCCCCTGGCTTGCGAGCCTCATCCATTGGCCGTTACGGCGCAGAAACCCCCCACCCACGAGGCCCCGATCCACCGTGACGTGCCCATTTTGGCTGCACGGCCCTGGACCGCGTCCAAGTAATTCCACCTCGAAGCAACACCATCATCTCCTTTCTTGTACATGAATTTGCAGACCGACTTGTCCCCTCCACCGCCCTCCCCCCTCCCTTGACGACGACCTGTCGCGACCCGCCACGACGACAAATTGACACTGCATCCGACGAAAGCCGCATCAATGGCCGCCTGAGCGACGACGAACCTCCGGCGCCACGAATACCCCCCCTTGGCTCGCCGTTCGCCTGCCACCAACTGGCGCAACAGTGTGCGCAAATCCTGCCAAGAGAGATAGAGAAACAGCAAAGAAGGAGAAAAAAGAAAAAAAAAAAAAAGAGACACGTGCCGCCCATCATGGCCATGGCACGGCCCATACGGGCTCTGGTCGTCGTGTCCGTCATGCTGTGGTGCTTCTTCATCTACCTCATATTGGGACCCCAAAGGGAAATCCACCTCCCAGAGCGCTACAGTCATGAGCGCGACCCCAACCTAGACCGTGAGCGCGAGCCTGCCATGGCGACCCCATCCCACGACGACCCCGCGCGGCGGCAGCGGACTCCCCCCCCCCTCCTGCAGTGACCGGCGAACCCGAGGGCACCCTGACCTATGCCTCGGAAGCCTACGCCCCTGGCGTCGAGAACTCGGCACGCATCAACGCGACACTGCTGGCCCTGGTCAGGAACGAGGAGCTTGTCGGCATGCTGTCGTCGATGC